CTCAAATGTAAGACGGGTTGTCATTATGATTTCTCTCATAAGGGAAATGCGAACTCGGGGCCGGGCTTGCCAATTAGGGGCTGGTTCATTTGGCCAATGAAAGACGCTAATTTGCATTCCATAGTTGTGATTGGTCAGTTATGATGTACCATATAAGAGACAAGACCGAACCAAATTATGCCACTTTGCAAAATTCGTGTGCTTGGAAGTCCTGGGATTGGAAAGTCGGTATTTGGAGTGCTTGCTGCCTTTGTTCATGACGGAGAAAAAAGATATTTCTGCCACCTTCTTGATGAACCGTTGGTCTGGTACTTTAATTGGAAAAGCGCGAATAGCTACGAAATATTTTCAACCCCGTAGGATAGGAAAACATACTGGGTTTGTTTGATGGTAACGAGGGCGGAGGCGCAAAGGTCTATGCTCGATTTCACCTTTCATATATGTTCACTCGCACTGTATACACAAACAGCTTTGTAAAGGAAGCGTGCTCTATTGTGGCTGTGAATCCGTGGACCAAAGCCGAAAGTTACAGTTTTGAAGATTTACTGTCGTTAGGGGCAAACCCAGATATTCATTTTCATCTCCTTTCCGTATCCCTTCCAGACGTACTTCAGGTCACTTTTGAAATATGTTGTTTTTTGTAAGACGTCACTACAAGACTAAGACATATGTTGGGTCGTTTTTTTTTGTTTACTATAGAGTACCCAAATCACGAAAATATCGGCACCTCACTATACAACGGTCAGACAACGACCGACATGAAGATATCACCCGGTGGTGGTGTCTACAACCACAAATCGACCGACTGGGCTGTGGACTTAATTTTTTCATGGCGGATCGCCCCGCTTTAGTGCATCTCTTGCACTGTCTATTCTACTTTCTGCTTCGCCTTCTGGAACCTTTATTTTGCGCACTCCTTCTTCGTCTTCGCTCGCAGACCTTCTCTTTTCTTTCCTCGCGTTCGCAACACGCCTTGCGGTCGTACGCTCCTCCTTCATTTATTGGCTTCAGCTACAGCATCCTCTTTAGTCTTCTAAGCAGCAATAAACAAGTCCTAATTAAGCAAGTCGTAATCAGTGTACCTACCGTTAATCCACTTGCCCCGCTTCCGTTCCTCGGATATGGTGCATTTGTTAAACTCGACAGAAATGATATCTGGATAACCAATATCACTGAGCTTAAAAGTAGTATCTAGATAGAAAAACAAGAATGGCTGCTTTTCCTGGAGAACCAATAGGATTTGCATTAGTGCGACACTGGTGATGCCCAGTATCAAAGGTTCTTCGTCTTCTCCGTTTCCCACAAACCAAAACCCATCTTCGGTTTGTCTATTTCCAAACGCGAAAGCAGTCTCAGTATTTAAATCGCTCGAAACTGCTTTGACGCGGATAAGCTGTCGTACTCGTTTTAAAGTGTCTTTAGGCCCTTCTAGCCAACGGTTGTATCGCACCTTGCGATGAACATGCGCGCACGACGGAAACTCAAGAGCAGGTGCTGATATGTCTGGCGCTCCTAGCATATTGCTCCAAATGATCCGTGGGAGCACTGAACTATCATCTCGTATGGATTCACGGATCGCCGCCGGTTTTATCATCTTGTCAGCCTGTTTATTGCGAGTCAAGGACGCAGCGCAAGTACTACGGGGCAATTGGAAATTTCCTTAATCTATTTTACGAGCGTATGGGGACAAAACTACGAATAAATGCAGTAATGAGTGATGCAGAGATTATGCAACTGAATGGTCTTATCGTGCTGTTCGGCTTCAGAAATAGTAAATACCTCATGTGCTTTTTACGTAATCTAGAATGTCCGCAGACGCTTCAGACATCTACCCGAATAGGTCAGTGCTGGCGTGTATCGTGGCATTCTAAGGTCGCCGGAGTGCTTATCGGATGAGGGAAAGAAGTCAGCATCCACTTTCTAACGATCGGCTGTAAAATAGAGTGTCCGACGCACCACATTGGCATGCCACAACAGGGTTGGTCCGTCCGCATCGACACCTATCAGTTCCAGTGTCCCTAATTCCAGAATTTCTGGCGTGTGCCCATGTCATCTGTGGGCGTTCAGCTACTGTCCTCAGCGTTCCTGGTGTCGATGGCTATCATCTCAGA